TTAGGGTGCGGTAACAGTAATTTGGGTGCGGTGTTTAGTAAATCAGTTTGCCAAATTAATATGGGACATGGGAATAGTGGTGGTGTTGATTGGGTGAGCCGGTGAGGTCAAGTTAAACACGATAGTATTTATGTCAAAATCTCAGTAATAATAATAATAATAATAAACAAATAATTGGTTGTTGAGTTAGGAGGAATCTATTGTTATCTATTTTGAATTAATTAATTTATTTATTTATTGATTCCTTAATAAGGGGGAAATTAATAGTGGATAGGTGTTAGTGAATAAATGGATGTGACAAACATAAAATAAAACAAAAAAAAAATAAAATAAAATAGTAAACCAAAGGAGGAAACAATGAGTATAGATATACTCCGTAGGGCATCATCATGGCGGTGCGACTGTGGCTGATTTATTTTTGACGACGTCAGCGTTATGGATATTGTATACCATTTTTTCAAATACTAGCTGATATAAGTGTTAATCTTAACTTTTATTGTATTTCATTACTTAATTTTAATTTGCATCATGTAGTTGTTGCTTTTTGCAAACACAACTCAATTCAAAGCCAAGCATATTATCGAATATCTCATTTGTTTTCTAAACTTTTTTAATTGTTATTTTTTTATAGATTTGAATTGCAACGAGTGAGTTGAATTTATTCGCGAACAACTCCTTAAAAGTTCATTATGAATTTGATTCGAATAACAATTCGAAATAACACTCAATTTACAATTAATATTGATTTACTATTTTATATAAAAGAAATACTATATGAATATCTACTAAAAACGAAGAAAATAAAGTTGCACTCAGTATCCTACTAGCTCCCATCGTAGGATCTTAGCCATTACACTCAACAAAATCAATAATTAGTATTTTATTAAATTGTGTGAAAGAAGTCAATATCACCACTCGATTTGAAAAAAGAAGAAATCGAAATAATAAAAAGAAACGGAAAAAAGAGTAATAAATTGGTAAAAAAAAGGAGAAGTAAAATCGAGGAGGCGCATGCAAAGCCACAATCATTTTGTCCTCTCTGCCCCACGCAAATCCTCCCATGCCTTTCTTTTACAACATTCTCCTTTATGCCATTTGCTTTCCAACAATTTTACTGTATTGCCACTCATTTTTTCTCTCTACAAAGTACATTGTTCATCTCTACACAAAGTACAAATTGTGAATTTATTTCATTTTTCTTCATAAGCATGCCTAATTAAAAGTGCCTAAATCAAGGCTTTTCAGATTCTACATTTCCATCACGCTTGAATTAAAATGGAAGTAGACTATATTTATGACTATTGGTGTAAAACTTGTGTAGTATTTTTTGAATTTAATTTGTAAAATGCATAATAAAAACTAGAAAATTTACCAAATTATTTAATTTTTTTTGTCTCTTCATGCACTACTCACTTTGATATAATCAATCATAACTCCAACATAAAATACTATGTAGGACTTTGAACTTTTAATTCCACATATATATATTACTTCAAAGTTAATACCAAAACATGATGAGTTGTTAAGTGAGGTGGACCGTTTCTGGGTAGCTCGGCTCAGCTTGTTTGATAGAGGACTTGAGCTCCACATCGTATAACATCTTGTTTCTGGGTAACTCGGCTCAGTTTGTTTGATAGAGGACTTGAGCTCAACATCGTATAACATCTTGTTTAGCTACGCTAATAGGGTCTGCTAAGAGCATCTACAATGCATTGAGTCTAGTCTTGCTTATGTGTCATTTAAATAAACCCAAGTCTTGGATGACATGGATAAAATGATGTAAAATTAACAAAATCAACTCAAATTTAAAGAGACTAAATCTCTATTTGGGTCTAAAATAGACTTAAGGGTAGACCGGGTCTCATTTTCTGGCTGCCACATCAGCATGACTCAGTCTACTTTTATTTGCATTGAAGAATTTATTTTTTTAAACTATGTCTATTTCTTAGGTGACATATAATTTTGTGGGATTGAACTCAAAGCATTATAGATACTCTAATAGGTTAGTTCGGCTAGTTTGGTTCATTAAGATTCAAAAGTTTGACTTTTTAATAAACAAGCTAAACTCAATAAACACTTGAACCTGAACTCAACTCTTTATTGGATATAAAAAGTTTTTGTTTTAATTGAATTTTTGGTTTGGATTGGTTAAATTTGAAAAAGTTGGTATGGTTAGTTGTTAGTGGATATATTTAAATAATATTTAAAATAAAATAATTAAAATTAAATTAATGTAAAAGTAAGAGAGAGAAGATGTGATGTGATGGTTAGTTAAAATTATGTGAGTTGATGAATAGTGAATTAAGGTTGATATTGTGTGTAAGAATGATTGATTGATATTATTTAATTATATTGATAATATTAATGATAGTGGGGTTGAGTTAAAATTGAATTAAAAAAAATGATTGAGTTAAAAATGATTGAATTTTTTTGGATTGAATTTATATCCAATCATGGTCTTAGTCTTTTCAATCTGAATTGCTAATATAAAATAAACAACCAATCTCAGTCTATTGTTATTTTCTTTAATTTTCTAAAATATAAATATGATTTAACATCTTTTATAAAAAATGAACTTATTATATATTTTTCTAGCATTGAAAGTGTTGCAAGTTGGAGGGATAATATAGTCCTGACATGATAGTCCCCATACTTGAAATATTCCAAATCCAGCACTGCACAGTATCAGAGGCAGTGTCTCAAGCCCCACACATACACACACACATTTCCACACACACAGAAAAAAGCAAAAAATTGGAGAGAAGAGAAGAGCACACACTGTATAAAAGTTAAAAACCTTCGGAAATTTATGAACCAATTAGAAATAAAAGAAAGGCTCCACCAAAGAGGCCACACCACTATCTCTATCTCGGCTGTTCTCCTTTTTTTCATCTATCTGTATTTTCTCTATGTACCAAAAACACTTCTTTTTCAGCTTTCATTTCATAAAACACAGATCCCATTTTCTCAAAGGTTCATATGATGAATTATTGGTTTTGTTTGTGGAAGAAAGTTTCAGTTTTTTGTAAAGAATATTAAGTGCAAGTATGGGGTGTTATCTGGGGTTTGCTTATTTCGGTTGGATTCAGACTGTTCGGCTCAAAGCTCCGATCTTTTTCTGATTTTTTTGTATTTTTCGTTGTGCTAAGAGTGATTGAGCTATTTTCTTGATATCAGTTAGTATGAAGGAAAGCTGGTGGGATTGGAGGAACGCTTGGTTGATGCAAGAATTTGTTGTTGTTGAAAAGAACTAAAGTCTGTTTTTTGTGCTCTTTTTTTTTGTTGTTTTGATCAATTAGTATATTGTCGTCTTGTTAGAATTCTCCCTTTTGAAATTCAGAACCCAGAAAAAAAAAAATCCCATCTTTGCTGTTCTATTTGTACTTTNAAAAAAATAAAAAAAAAAAAAAGAAAAAATCCCACAAGAGTTTTGAGCTATTATTTTGCAATTAGGAGGGATTTGTTGTGGTGAAGGCTTGACAATGTCTTACAAAGAAAGTAACAAAGGCTCAGTCGTGGCCATGGATAATGGGAAATACGTTCGCTACACGCCCGAGCAGGTGGAGGCTCTTGAGCGGCTTTATCACGACTGCCCTAAGCCGAGCTCTATGCGCCGTCAGCAGCTCATCCGTGAATGTCCCATTTTATCCAACATTGAGCCCAAGCAGATCAAAGTTTGGTTTCAGAACAGAAGGTATTTATTTTCTATTGATGATTTTTTGGATTCTTTTAGATTGGGAAGTATTTGAGAGAAATGGCCTTTTTTTTAGCAGGAGCATAGATTATTTGAAAAAAGAAAGTTATAAGTTGAAGGAAACTGTGGTTATTAATTTGATTGTGAGTCTGAGCTGAATTTGAAATATCGAGCAGTGCCTACAGATCATGATGAATTAAAAATAAACAAAATTGGATTGGATTATGCAGAATTAGTACTTAAACCTGTTGTTGGAAAGGATGAAAAATAATATGTTCTTTGGCAAATTCCTTCATAAATTCCTTTGTTCATCTAATGTGTTATCTTCTTTTTGTTGGTAGTGTGTTTTTTATTATTTCTTCTTAAAGAGGTTCTGCCTGTCATGTTCATGATGAAATTTTCAATAAAACTTGTTCCGTTGAAGAATTTATTTGTTTTTTAGCATGGTGCAGGATGAATACAGATGCAGAGAGAAGCAAAGGAAAGAGGCATCAAGGCTTCAAGCTGTCAACAGGAAGCTTTCGGCCATGAATAAACTCTTGATGGAGGAGAATGATAGGTTGCAAAAACAAGTGTCACAGTTGGTGTATGAGAACAGTTACTTTCGCCAGCATAATCCCAATGTAAGAACCTTGAAAATAGTTAACAATTTAATTGTTTCGGTATTCCAGTTCTGGTAATTGCAACTTTATCCCTATTCTGTCTTAAATTTAAAGTCCTATAGCTGCTCGAAATTTCGAGAATTGGTTAAAGCATTCAATATCAGAGTTTTTGCCAAATTTTCTGCTAGATGATGAGTTTTCCGAACACCTTATCCAACAACTGAAACTCAAATATATTGCAGAAGATGCAAATGTCTCAATTTTTTATTCTTTTAACTTAACATGACATTTTAGAACACTTTGAAATATGAAGCAAATTAATCACCAAGCTGTTTATCTATTTGTCATTTTTCCCTTTTGGTATTGCCGTGGAAATTTCAAAGGCGACCAATTTGGCCGCACACTTATAGTTACATGACTAAGTTTGAAAAATGTATCAATACTGATTATGGGTCTCTATAAATTTACCAAAAGCTATAATTTCCCATGTTGCAGAATGCACTTGCTACTAAAGACACTAGCTGTGAATCGGTGGTGACGAGTGGTCCAAAAAACCACTTGACACCTCAGCATCCGCCAAGAGATGCTAGTCCTGCAGGGTGAGTAATTGAATCTTGGTTTTGTTAAGTCATTTTCATGATGGAATAAATAATGTGTGTGTTTGTGTCCATTTGTGTTTGTTGGTGGCCTTTGGAATTTTGTTGTTTTATTTTGATTGTACCCTTTTGCAGGCTTTTGGCCATTGCAGAAGAGACTTTAGCAGAGTTTCTTTCGAAGGCTACTGGAACTGCTGTTGAGTGGGTCCAAATGCCTGGAATGAAGGTAATGTTAAATTACCATTAAAATTGTGATATGAATTTACCGAATAAATTTTAAGATTTTTCACAAGTTTTTTTTTCTTTGTTGATTATTTGTGCAGCCTGGTCCGGATTCCATTGGAATCGTTGCTATTTCTCATGGTTGCTCTGGCGTGGCAGCACGAGCGTGCGGCCTAGTTGGCCTAGAGCCTACCAGAGTAACGTTCAAACTGAATTCTTTTGTTTCAATTTGTTCCTTTCTTAAACGCTCTTTACTTATACATGAACCAATTTTTAATGTTTAATGTTTAATTCCAGGTTGCTGAAATCTTGAAGGATAGGCCTTCATGGTTTCGCGACTGCCGAGCCGTCGATGTCTTAAATGTGCTGCCTACTGCCAATGGTGGAACGATAGAACTGCTCTACATGCAGGTCAATATTTCTCACAATAGCAATTTTGATATTTATTTTTTATGTTACATATTTGCACCTTCAATGGTGGAATATTTTTAACTTTAAAGTTTCTAACCGACTTGAAAAAAATTGAATTTTTTAGCTATATGCGCCGACAACTTTGGCGCCAGGTCGTGACTTTTGGTTGTTACGCTATACTTCTATTATGGATGATGGGAGCTTAGTGGTATGCGTCTACCTTTAACTCTTCTATTTTAGATTATCAAACCCATTTCTTTTTTTTTTTCCTTAAATTCAATGAGTAATTCCATTTGGTTTTTGCAATATGCTCCTAGATTTGTGAAAGATCACTCAGCAATACCCAGAATGGTCCTAGCATGCCGCCAGTTCAGAACTTTGTGAGGGCAGAAATGTTTCCCAGCGGTTATTTGATCAGACCTTGTGATGGAGGAGGCTCGATAATCCACATTGTGGATCACATGAATTTGGAGGTAACCTTATATCTTATCCGCCATTTTTTGCAATTAGATTGTGATCTTTTTTGTTTATTTGGGTTCATATCATTTTTTACCCCGGAAGTTTATCCGTTATTATAAATATAGAGATTTGTATATCTTTGTTGAAAAAGTATCCAGGTCGTAGTAAATTAGAAAAAAAAATAGAACAGTAGTGTTTTTTTTTAATAATCTTTGTGAATAAGATTGTGCCTCAAGGGTGTTCATTTGTGATTAACCCAACTTTTATCATGCTGAACCTTTTGGTATGAAAGATTATACTTATAACATTCTATTGTTATAATACTTAGTTTGCAACTTACGATGTTTGTGTTTTCTGTTTTCGTTTATTCCCAGGCATGGAATGTTCCGGAGGTGTTACGCCCACTCTATGAATCTCCAGCTGTGCTTGCTCAGAAGACCACAATTGCTGTAATAATTATTCTGTTACTCTCTAAAAATCAGAAAAAAAAAACAACAAAGAAAGAGGCAGATCCCAAATATTTCCTAGATAATGTATTTCCCTTTATTTATTTTTTTAACTTGTGTAAGTTTGTTTTGCCTTTCCCAACACAGGCTCTTCGCCAGCTCAGGCAGATGGCCCACGACATCTCACAGTCTAGCGTGACCAACTGGGGCCGAAGGCCAGCAGCTTTACGTGCACTTAGCCACCGATTGAGCAGGTTAGTCCTTTTCACCTTTTTCTTTTGCTTTAGAGTTCGTTTGATTCTTAATCATAATTTTTTTTTTTTTTTACGATACTAATGCAGGGGATTTAACGAGGCTCTTACTGGGTTCGGTGACGAAGGGTGGTCGTTGATCAGTAATGACGGCATGGATGATATTACGATTCTTGTGAATTCCAGTCAAGAAAAAATGATGGGCTTGAATATATCCTTTTCTAGTGGATATCACTCGATTTGTAATGCTGTCTTGTGTGCCAAAGCCTCTATGCTTCTACAGGTAAGTTCACACATAATGCTTTTAATTTGTGTAAACGATTACTAAGGTTTCAACCTTGAGCTTGATTTTACAAACCATTAATCTCTCAACCTAAGAAATGAAAAAGGAAAAAGGAAAAAAAAAATATTCTAAGGAATTAATTTGTGGAATTCTTGAAAACCTAAATAGATCTAAGGAATTAATTATAATGTACTAATATAATCCTATGCTCAATTCTTAAAATCCAAAGAAGCGTCGAAAATATAACGATAAGTTGAAGAATTAAAAAAATAAATAAAACATAAAAACAAAAATAGGGTACTTACATTGTCATTAACTCGAAAACAAGTTCTATATTCGACCATCTTCCATTCGGTAATAACTCCATTCGGATACTTTCCGTCGTAAAACTCGAGCTTGTTCTTGTACCCGATTATAGAATCATTGAGTCCGTAAATGGGACTATTCCATTCAAACATTTTCCAATATCCATTAGGTGTTGTTCTTGTCAAGCTGCGCACCGTTTGTGCAAGCTCTCGAGTAATTGGTACGAAAAAGTACGCTTCATTGTCTCGTGCGTACTTCTTTGATTCATCTAATTGGACACAAGGCTAGATAAATATAAACTTTCGAAAAAAA